CAGCTACGCAGTTGCTCTTTACAGCAACAAAAATGGTTTTGTATGCATCTATATAATCGAGTGCTTTGAATTGTAATTGTTGCTTTTTGGTTTAAACTTCACATTTTGAGTGCACAAAATATCACTAATATGATTTTAATGTCACAGATAGATTTACATGTAACATACATTTTAAAATAGAACGCAACTCAGAGCTCTACACCTCCCAGTGCCTTAACTGGAATAAATCAGACTAGTAAAGACACAACCTCTGTTGATGATGTAGCTGCTGTCACTGAGAAGCTAGAGGAGTTACAGAGTTACCTACCACAGATGTCTAAAATGATAGAAAAAATGAAAGAGAGTGATCCATCCAATCAACTGAATGAATTGAGCAATTTGTACCAAGCAATACTAGCCAAGACTACAAAGTAATAAGCACATACCCATTATAATTTCTAATTATCCAATTATAGCATTAACATGAGCACATTAGAAAAAGGTCATGTTGTTTTGAAGAGAATGTTTCCAGAAGACTCATCTAGTGAGTGGTCACATTTATTATTTTTAAACATTTATAATATATAACAGATAGCATTAAAGACAAGGCATCCATAAGTGTTACTTTTGCAGAAATTGGTAAGTGGAGCTACAACTTATTGCCAAGCGGTAGAGCTTGGTTAGTAGGGTTGAGTTGGTCAAAATGGCTGCCCAAATTGAGCTATTCTTGCTCGTTTCTCTGGGATAATCTAACTTTATTTCTTACTTGAGAGCATAGGCGGCGGAACAGGGGGGCAGAGGGGGCTAAAGCCCCCCCAGTCTTGAAACAGGAGGGGCTGAGCCCCCCCAGAAATTCTCTGCAACTGACTAACAAAGAAAATAAAACTGACTTTTATCAGTAAAATTAGACCTGCAGTCATCATCTCTTCATTTTATTTAAAGAAAAAGGCAAGAAAACTACTCTAAATCCAACAATAAAAGATTAGCACCATTTTTTGTAAAATTAGCAGCAATTTTTGTATAAAACCACACCCATTTTAATAACTTAATTGATGTTCAGCCCCCCCAAAATAAATTTTGTTCCGCCGCCAATGCTTGAGAGCCTTGATGAGCTTTTCATTACCTTTAGAAGACTTGAGAACCAGCAAAAGGAGCTGAAAATATCGATAAGTACGGTTTTACGGGGTGCATGAATGCATGCACGCGTGCGTATTCCGTTCAGGTTTCTGCTTCTTCTTCTTCTTTCTGTCAGTCAAAACTCCTCCTAGGATATCAATCACAGAAGAATGATTTTTACACCATTCTCTTGCGCTGTAGTGTAAGAAGTGCAGTCACTTATCAAATACAGGTGAGCAAAATCAAAGAAAAATCGTGTTCTCTGGCCCAAGCAGTCATGGACTCACTGGTAGACGCCATTTTTAATAGCATGCTGTCTTCTGAGCATGCTCAGTACAGTAGGACGTTAATTAGAATAATCATTTATTGTATGGCTTTTACTTCAGTTATCCTAGGCCTTCTAGTCTCGTGCCCCGCCCCTTCGCTTTTGGAGGAAGGGTCTGGAGACACTCAAGGCTTTTTTGTTGCATGCTGGAATGTAATTAGTGCAGCTGATCATATGACCGGATATATCCACATGTTAATTTCACGTGATAGGCACACCTCAAGAACATGGCTACCAGAAGTTTGAAGAAGGAATCATAGCTAAAACTCATTTCAAATCAGTTTTTATCATTAATTTGTTTAGTTTTTCTTCATTCATCCTCTACTTATTAAATGCATTTTGCTATCAGATCAAAACAGTATGTTTAATAATGCAAAATTGACTAAAATTGTATAATAATATAATGATAGTAATAAGAATGCTACAAAGGCCATGGCTGTTTGAGACATCATTTGCAGATGAGGTAGAAGTAGTTCCTCATCTTCCATAAAAGTA